TCTCAAAAAAAAAAAAAAAAAAAACAAAAAAAAAAAGCTTATCCTGTCATTGATGTGGTACTAAAAGTCAACACTGAAAGGTTCACTTTACTTTAAAAAAAAAAAGATTCGGTTGGGGAGGCACAACAGAGTAAGGTGGATCTCTGTGAGTTTGAGGCGAGCCTGGTCTTCAACATAGCAAGGTCCAGGCCAGGCAGGGCTACGTTAGTAAGACACTGTATTTTTTTAAAAAACAGTGTGGCAAAGTTTAGAACGATAACATCGAGTCTTGTAGCCATGCCCAGCATACATTCCTCTAAAAACAGAAGGTGCTAACTAATTTAAAACTGAATGATACCACGCATGGTGGTGCACTCATCTTTTCCCAACAAAATGAAACAACCAAAAAAAAAAAAAAACCCCAAAAAAAAAAACCCCCCTGCCTCTCAAAAAAAAAAAAAAAAACCTGGGGGATGTAGCTCAGCAGCAGAGAACTTGCCTAGTACTATGCACAAAGCCCTGGGTTTGATCCTCAGCCTGGCAAAAATAAAACAAAAAATTCACCTTATACAGAATTCAACTTGAATACACCAAACCTTTCACAGGGTGTAGAGGGTAGGTGTGTCCCAGACCCTGTCTCATCCATTTACCCCAGTAACCCCAAGACACCTCCCAGATTCAAAAGAAGGGTGTGTTGGAAAGTGCTGGGGGGATTGTCTCTCTGCTATCCCCCGCTCCTGCTGTGGCACTCATGGTTCCTGCCCTCAAATGCCTCTCTGGTCAGAGCATTCTCCTTGTGCATGGAGGTGGTACCAAGGAACAGACTTCTACTGGATGTATGACTGCACATTGGACTCACCCTGGAGCTTGAAAATTAATGAGGCCTCATATTCCTCACCAAAGATTCTGCCCCAGAGGCTAAGTGGGACACCTTGTGCCTGGGCATTGCCCATGCGATTCTGACATGCAACCAGGGCAGAGAGTGCTCAGTTAAATCCACTCTGCCTCACTAGGCATAGCAAGGGCCAGAAAGAGAAGAAAGAAATGTGCACACAAAAACACTGGTCTGGAATGGGACTGAGACCCTGGTCTTAATGCTGCCATTAATGTGCTTTGTAACTCAGGGCAAGTCACCTCCCCCTTCTCAGCCCTCATCATCTCATCCTGGAAAATAAAGAGTTGTTTCCTTCTGATAGATCTTTCACTCCTTATTATCCAACTATGTTTCCATGCAGTAGCAAGGGGTGGGAAATGAGAGTGGGAACAACAGCAAGGGAAGCAGGGCAGGCCCAATACCAATGACTGTACTGACATCTAGCTTGCTGCATGTTGATTCATGGAAGAAAGGACTTTCTGATGACCACACTGTCTGGTCTGGCTTCAGTAGCTGGGAGACTGAAAGGAAGGAAAGTCGAGCACCCTGCTGAGGTGCTGCAGAATCTGTACTGGGGTGGTACAATGTGGAGACCTTAAAGATCTTTCTAGGGCCCATGAGATGGCTCAGTAGGTAAAGGTACCTGTCACCAAGACCTATGTTCAGTCTCTGAGTCTCACATGGTGGAGGTAGAGAACCAACTCCTGAAATTGTTCTCTGACTTCCATATGTGTGCCATTCCACGCATTTGCTTCCTCCCTCCCTCCCTCCCTCTCTCCCTCCCTCCCTCCCCCTCTTCCCTTCCACATATACACACACAGAGTAAATAAATAAATAAATAATGAAGAAAAAAGACCTTTCTAGATCTTACTGTCTGGAACACGGCAGAAGGAAGGGTATGGGCAGGAGATGATGTCAGTACAGATGCATCGAGGGGGCTCCTTGACAGTGCACCTCCCCTGTGTTTTGGGATCCCTGGATGGGAGTAAGCAGCTGTGACCCCCTACTTACCCAACCATAGTTTCTCCTGTGTCCTCGCTCTGAGCATGCTTTGGCCCCTGAGTGAGAATCCTGAGGATAGAGGCAGTCCATGGGAGATCAGAGTAAAGAGGCACTGTCTGCTTAGAAGTCAGGAGGTTGGAAGAAGTACCCACACAGCACGGGGCAGAAGCTCTCTTTCTGCTTGCTCTCTCACCCTTGGTCCTCAAGGGGCTCCAGATCTCCTGGGGAACATATTCAGGTCTTGTGTCTAGGCCCCAGTTCCAGGAGGGCATCTTAGTCAAATGATGGCTTCCCCTGGCTGACTTGGTACATCTTTCCGTATGGTTGTGTGAGAGTGCATTACTAGACTCTACCACTGAGGGAAGGATTTATTATTTATTTATTTATTTATTATTTATTATTTTGATGTTTGTTTATGGTGCTGGAGCTCAAACCCGAGGTCTCACACATGTTAGGCAAGAACTTACCACTGAACTACATCATCTTCAGATATATCATCATCATCATCATCATCATCATCATCATAACTTGTATCTCTAGTGATGGAACCCAGGGCCTTGAGCATACTAGGCAAGTGCTCTGTTATGGAGCTACAATGCCAGACCTTCTGAGGAAGCTTTATGTATCTTCTGGAAATCTCTTCCCTTTAAAGGGGAAGGAATTCAGGCCCAGGGAGGGAAAGTGACTTCCTTAAGTCAACCAATAAGTGGTGGAACTGAGATCACAGTGTGATATCAATAATTAATGATAAAGAATGCTATGAGTTTTTTCTGTGTATAAAACCTTGTTTTATACAATGAGTACTTTGCAAAGACTGTTTTATTTGATTCATAAACCAATGTACAAGGACAATGCCGTGGTCACCAATTCATGAATGAGGACCTGGAAGTTTAAGCGCTTTGTACATTGTCACATAGCTGGTAAGGTAGAGATCCGGCTTATGCGGCTTCAGACTTTGGACATGGGACTTCGTAGTTTTAAGTAAGCTGGGGAGAATCAAGTTTAAATTCCATTCATAAAACAAACCATTGTCATTGGAAAGGTCTGGCATTACGCCAGCCTGTACTGAGGGGCAGAAGGTTAGGAGAACTCCAGTAATAGAGAGTCTATGCAAAGGAACTGGGCCTGCCAACTGCTCGGAGCCCTGGGCTTTGCCCCATCTGCAGCCTGGTTGTTCTTTCTTCAGCTTTGTCTAATAGAGGCTCCTTTTGCTCACCACCCGATGTCCACCTGCTCCTGCAGCACTGTGCTCCATTTTGTTCCCTAGCTAGGACTCTTCTGCATCTATAAGAGGAGGTCATGAGAGAGAAGAGATGTGACTGGCCAGGGTGGTCACACAGGAGGCTGCTCCTTGGACTCCTCAGCATTTTCTGGCCCTTGCTGTTCTAAGCCTTGTGAGAGATGCTGTGTAGTGTAGTGTGTTCAGACTGGATGCCAGCCCTCTTGGGCCAAGAGTCCTGTCACCCACTCCATGACCTCAACATGAGGCTAACAATGACCCTATGAGGTGGACTGTTAACCAGATTGAGTGGATGCTTGTGAAGCCCTAAGAGCCATGTTTGACCCCTTAGATGTTACTGTTACTAAACTCAAAGGTCAGAAAATGGGTCACTTCCTGCCTGGTATTACCTGAGTGATCTTGGGAAAGATGCTTAGCCTCTCAGAGTCTCGGCCTCCTCCTGTCCTAAGTGATGGGTAGGCGACACACTATTGAAAGGACGCCTGAAGACCAGTAGGTGATCACTGGGAGATCACTCTCTCCTGCCTCTTGGGAGTTTGGCTGGCTGTTGAAGCAGATCTATAAATGCTCACAACTCCTCTCTGGATAAGACGCTTATGGTAGCCTGGTACCTTGGGAGGGACGGCTAAGTTTCTCTGCCTCGGTCAGTCAGTGGCTTCCTTCCTGTTTGTTCCTCACCTAAGTGCCCTCCTCTCATTGCTAGATCTAGAGCCAAGATAAAGAAAGTTACTGAGCAGGGAAGAAAGCTCAGTCAGTAAAGTGCAAGGACCTGAGTTCAATCCCTAGAACTCATGGATGAAAAAAAAACCAGGTGCAGTGGCACACACTTGAGCTTGTAGCCCCAGCTCTGGGGAGGCAGAGATCCCTTGGGCTTTCTGGCCAGCCAGACTAGCCTACTAGGTGAGCTCTAGGGCAGTGGGAGGCCTTGTCCCCAAAACAAGGTGGGTAGCTCCCAAGGAGTGACACACCTGAAATTGTCCTCTGACCTCCACCTATACTGTATGTGCACCCACATACATGAACAGAGAGAGAGAGAGAGAGAGAGAGAGAGAGAGAGAGAGAGACTGTCCAGCACTTGCTGTCCAAAAGCCTCCCAGCCCAGAGGGATGCCCATTTCTCTGTTGCTCTCTGACTTCTGCCCTGCACATGTGGTTTCGAGGAGCTTCATGGTTTTCTTTGGTGCCCTCCTGGGTTTTGTGGTTGGTTTAGTTGGGCAGCCTAGGAAGCAGACTTTTCCTACTAGTTGGTTTGCTACTTCTTTGTGTTTATATGCAATTAGGCCACAAGGGTAGGCTGATGATATGGATGTTTCAAATTGCTTCTGTAGACAAGGACTCCAAAAAGAACATTTGCCAGCCCCTGACATCTAGGGACAGTCTCCAGTCTTGCCTTCACCCACATTCTTCTCTTTCACAAAGAAACTCTCAGTATCTCCACTGAATGAATGGACAGGGAAACTGAGGCCTGGGAAGGAAAACTTAAACACTTCCTGGTTAGAATCTCATCTCTTTCTCTTGCTTTTTGAGATACTTTTGTACTGTAGCCCAGGTTGCCATGGAATTTACTATGTATCGCAAACTGGCCTTCAACTTCCTGCCTCTACCTCTCAAGTGCTGGATTAAAGGCCTGTCACCGCCACATTTTACTCTCCTTTCTCTTTGTCTTCCTCTTTCCTACTGCTGTGTTTTACAAGCCCTCTTAAAACACCTTCTCTCTTCCACATTGGGTTCCCTAGTCCTGTGTGTTCCTCAACAATGTTCCATTCCCCCACTAACAGGGCAGAAGGCTGCAAAGCATCCTTTGGGCTCTGATCCTGGAGGAGAGGGAGGGGTTCAAGGGAAGAGCTCCTACTCAGCCCCATCCCAGTGCCCAGTGGTCCTTACAGCCCTCTCTCTCCCCATTCAGGATGCTGCAGAACAACCAGCTCCAAGGGATCCCAGCAGAGGCGCTGTGGGAGCTGCCCAGCCTGCAGTCACTGTGAGTCACTGAGTGCCCACCTTCCTCAATCTGGAGCACAGCTCAAGCCCTGCTTTAGCTCCCCCTCTTCCTGTAGTCCATTCCACAATCCACACTGAGCTCTTGGTTTCCTCAGGATGCTTTGATGTCATCAGTGTGTGTCTATTGTATGTCTGTGAGACTGTGGGAATGGGACCTCCCTAGGTAAGGCCACCATGGCAGGAGTCCCGAGGCCACTGGCGTTCTGCCATGGGAGCTGGGGTGTAGGGCGGAGACTACTGTCCCAAAGAAGCACCAGGAAGGGGCTGTCTCCTCCCCTTATCTGGCTCTTGCCCTGGGGCTCAGTAGGAGGAGGGAAACCAGGTTCAGAAACCTACTTGGGTGGGTGGATTGGAGACTATGATCCTGGACTCTGGGCCACCCAGGTTAGAGCCCATCCTCCAAGGAGCCCTGCAGTTCCTCTCTTACCCAGCAGGAGTATCATGGCAGCAGGACTAAGCCTAAAGGTAGAAGTGGGAACAGATGCTGGGTTGACGGAAAGTAGCCTTGCTCAAGTATTGGGTTGTATGCACACTATGCCCAGTCTGGAAACATGTTGCATCACACCCAACTGAATTTTTGGATCCATCTACATCCATTCAATGGGTGAATATATATTTTGGGAAAATCAAAGTTGGAGGAGAGGACTCGAGGATGATGTTTATCCCAGGAGGAACTGAGGCATGTGCAGTGAGTACATAGGACAAGGCCTGTGGTATCCTTGGCTGTGAGCCCTGTTGTGTGGATATGGAAGTCAGACAGTCTAAACCTGTCTTGGTTATTCTTGACAGGATGACAGGAGAAGGAGGAGGGAGGTAGAGAAGGTAGCTTTTCTCCTTATTCTTCTTTTATGTAGAGGGATCATGGCCAGCTGGCCACAGCCACCGTAGTTAGGGGCTTCCTCCTAGCCAGCTGCTTGTGCATCTCTGTGCACCTCTAGTTGTCTGAATGGCCTTGGTGGAAGAACCTGCTCTTTCCCCTCCCCTGTTTTCTCTGCCCTCTATCCCAATGTGTCTAGGCCTTTGGCCCTAGCAGCCTCTTTCTCCTGGCAGACTCATGCTGGACAGGGTAGGCAGGCAGCATGCCCCAGGAGGCCCAGGTCAGGAGATGAAAGCCAGGAAAGCCTGTGTTTGCTGTCTTGAGGGCAGACTAAACATTTGCTTAGGGCACCAGTAAAGAATTGGGAGAGCCAAAAATAAGAGGTGGTAGATGGGAGGCAGGGGGTTGACATTTCAACCAAAGCATCAAAGAAGACTTCTTAGGAGAAATTTGGGCTTATTTTGAAGTTAAATCACTCATTTTTTAAAAGATTGTGAATCACACCATTTGCTGAAGGTTTCTGAAGATCTTGCTTTCAGGCCAGGACTGGTGCTTTTAGTTAGACAAGCAGTTACCCTCACATTTTCGGGGAAGTGGACTGTCTCCTGGGTCAGAGAACTAGAATGTGAGTATCTACCCCAGCCCCACTGCACCCCTCTACTTGTGTGGATGAAGTCAGCAACTGAGGCAGATGGGTGGGTCTTAACTCTTGAAATCCTGTGAAAACACTAACCTTCCAGACAAAGCCTCTAATCCCGACTATGTACCTCAGTTTCTTCAAGGTGGGGTTCATGATCTTTACTTCCTACCTCCCACTTCCCACTTGTCCTGAAGAGATCATGTGGAATCCACTTGAACGGGATAGACCAACAGCAGGCCCCATACAACAGTGATGTGTGGTGATGCTATTGAGATAGTGCTCATCTAATTGGTCATCAGTCCATTCATTTCACAAATATATTTTGTACCAAGGCAGCAAAATCTGTATTAGGTTTTGAAGGATTGGGAAATGTCAATCATGTGAAGAGGCAGAGACGGGCATGATAGGCAGAGGAACAGAGGATGCAGTAGTAGAGGTAAGAAGGGAAGAAATGGAGGGAGCACTAGGGAGTTTGACTAAACCTTGTGTGTGTGTGTGTGTGTGTGTGTGTGTGTGTGTGTGTGTGATGTGTTGGGGGGCTGGTAGGAAGGGCAGTGATGGAGAAAGACCTGGAATTAGCAAGTGATGATACTCAATAAATGGCAGCCACCTTGCTAAGGATTTGGACTCTATCATTTGGATTAGAAGGGAGCCATAGAAGGACTTTGATCAGAATGTCAGTGTGAGTTTGTGTTTTTGAAAACCCCTTTTTGGTAGTAGTGATGGGGACAGATGGGGAGCAAGAGCCAAGGAAGAGGCTGCTGAGCATTATGGTGGCCAGAGGGCAGGCAGGGACAGTGGTGAAGGGTGAAGTTGGTGGGCTCTGGAAACATCAGCGCTCTGCAGGCAACACCCTGAGCCATACCTCTGTTTGTCCACTTGCTGCCTCTCCCTCATTAGTACAGTAGAAACAGTGCTGGTGTTCATTCACCCCAATGCCGTGGTATGAGATAAGTTTAAGGTAGAGACTTGGGGCAGCACCTTTTGCTGTTGTTTCTGTAAGTTATCAGCAGCAGGTGAATGTGGGAGAAGTGGGAGAGAAGTCATATCATCACTGAGCTCTCTGGCTTTCACCTTGCAGTAGACGGAGAATCTAGTCTCTAAGAGCATGGCAAATGGTAGAGCTCATGCGGAACAATTTGGACAAATGCTAACACAAAGTGAGCCTTAGGACAATCAAGGTGACCAAGCATCCCAGACTAAGTGGTGCTTGTTCATTCTGCCTGCAGGGCATCCATGTACACCATGTACAGATGTGTATGTGCAAGTGTGTGTGTGTGTGTGTGTGTGTGTGTGTGTAGAGCAAGTACCTAACTTGAAGACTCTGAATGAGTCACACCTCTGTTTGTATTACATCTTGAACTTTTGGAAAGTGGAAGGATTCAAGAGAGATCACCTCAGGACTGGGGAGATGGTTCAGCCCTTAGGAGTACTGGCTGTTCTTGCAGAAGACCAGGGTTCGAATCCCAGCACCAATATGGCAGCTAACAACTGTCCATAACTCCAGTTCAGGAGATCCAATGCCCTCTTCTGTTCATCATGGGCATTGCATGACATAGGTGCAGCTACACACATGTAGGCATAACGCACATAAAATAAAAATGAATAAATAAATACAAATTAAAAAGGAAAGATCACCTCAGACATCAAAGGGAAGTGCTTCCCACAAAATTAAGTCCTCACCATGTTAGACAGCAACAGAAAAACCAGGTCGAAAGGACAAGAAGTAGAGACCAGTACTCATGAACCAGTACCAGCTCTGCACGTTACACCCACCATGTGGCTTCTTCCTCATTACCCTCATTAACAACTGCTTTCAGGGGGTTAAGAGCACTGACTGCTCTTGCAGAGGACCAGGATTTGTTTTCCAGCACTCACATGGCAGCTAACAACTGTCCATAAGTCCAGTTCCAGGGGATTTGATACCCTCTTCTGACCTCCATAGGCATTGCATGAATGCACTTACATACATGTAGGCTGAACACTCATACACATAAAATAAAACAAAACCCAAAACAACTGCTCTCAGCTATCAGATGAGGGGACCTGCAAATAACAGGGTCTATTCAGGGTCAGAGCTATTGAGGGGCAGGCAGGTCTACCCCAGCTGTTGGGCTCTGAAGGCTGCAAAGGAGTTCTTTGATGGCTGTCATTTGGAGGCCCTCCTGCTTCCTCAGGGCAGGAACAAATGAAAATATCTTGCTTCTTGTTAGAAGTCAGTGGATTAGGTGGCACACCTTGTCCATGCTCCCCCACAGCATGAGCTGTCTTCCCCAGAGCAGGCCAGGTACATGGAAGGGCTCCTGTCCCCCAATACCTCTAGACAAGAGCATCCTTGCACTTACTTCAAGCCCTGTGGCCTGTCTTACTTCTACTAGCTAGACACAGTGAACAGGAACTTGGTGTGGAGGAGCCCAGAGTGGGCTGGGGCAGGAAAGGGGGTAGCCAGCCTGCATTCCAGGGTCCAGGTACCAAGTCAGACATGGCTCACAAGCTGTTTGCTTTGGCACCTGGGTTGGCGGTGCCCTGCTCTGAGGCACCCCCTCCCTGTACACATTTACTTCCTCCCTGACCAATGTGGGAGGGGAGGGCAGCCACACCAGACATGTCACACCAGGCATGAAGCCAAGCCAAGAGAAACCACGAGAAGCCAGCAAAGCCCGGGGGAAAATAGAAACTGGGTGGGGGTGAGGCAGGGCCCTGGGGAGAGCCCATGGAAAAGCAGAACCAAGGCTCTCAAAGAGCTGGCACTGGACTGGGTTGGGCTAATCCGGTCAGCTCTGGCAGGAGTCAGAAAGCATAGTGGCAGGATAGAGGGAAAGAAAAACAGCTCTGTGCTGGACACCCTGGGGGAAAGCAAAATCACCAAGGACAGCCACTCGAAACTGGCTGGCACACTGCAGCAGGGGACGTGACTCAAGAGCAGCACCAGGCCCCAAAATGAAGCTCTAGGTAGAACCGCCCAGGGGTCCAGCCAGACATCTAAAGCACAGCAGCCACTTGCTGCTGAGTGGAAGGGGCAAGGAGCCCAGGAAGCAGGACTGTGTGCCTGAGGACGTGCTCCTGTGGGGATGGGAAGGCCAGTGGGCTCTGGGGGGAATGAGGGAGGGGTAGCTCACTTAGAATGGCCATTTTGATAATCTTGAAAGCCCCATCAGGTACTTCTATTATGACCATTTTGTAGATGAGGCAACCAAAGACCAGAGAAGTTAAGTAACTTGTTGAGGTCAAGCAGCTAAGATAGAATAGAGGTGGGATTTGGGGTTGGCTCTTCAGAACCATACTCAAAACCTGTCATTTAATATCTCTTCATTATTCTGATACCTTACAATCCAGAGATTTGGGTTCAAGTCCTAGGCTTTATCCCTAGCTGACAGGTGAGTCTTCTCTCTTCCCTGAGCCTAGTGTTCTCCATCTCTAATATGGGAAGGTCAAATGGAATAATTGACAGCCAGGCTTCCAAGAGATTACCCTGCTATACAGACACAAGAACTTCCTGATGGGGTTCCTGGTTCTGTTCTGG